CACAGTTTACTGTAGCCTCTGTTTAAAATTCCATGTTTATGTACCAGTACACCTGAAAAGCCTTTCTTAGTAATCACAGTTGCCATAAGTTAACAAATCTCTGGATATTTTATGACTGAATCCTTTAGATCAGGTTTCCTCACCCTTGGCCCCTTTACGCCGGGTGGCCTTCAACCCCCAGAATTCCCCACTGGCTGGGGAATTCTGGGTGTTGAAGTCCACCCGTCGTAAAGTGGCCAAGGTTGAGGAACCCTGATCTAAAGGATTCAGTCATAAAATATCCAGAGATTTGTTAACTTATGGCAACTGTGATTACTAAGAAAGGCTTTTCAGGTGTACTGGTACATAAACATGGAATTTTAAACAGAGGCTACAGTAAACTGTGCCATGCAAACCCAGCTGAATTGGATGACAAATTATACAGCTATTCAGGATAATTTTGTACCTTAATGTACTCATTCTTTTTTTTTTTAAATCGCATCAAATAAATCGTTATTTACTCTAATTTATGAGTGTTGGGAAATGCCATGATAGCGTTGGGCATGTTATCATTCCTATATTTCCTAACAGAAAAAGGACACATATGGGCTGACTCTCCTTTTTTATTTATGCTAGAATAAGTTTCCAGATTAGGATTATAATTCACTGTGTAGGAAGGATTAATTCCTCAAGAGAAGATTACAAATAATTCATTGGGTACAATGTTTATCTTCTTCTTTTAACTCACATGGGGTAGGATGGAGGTCAGAAATGAAGTCAGTGGAAGAAGAAAGAATTTATTCTACTGCCTATACACATATACCTAAATGTGGTAGTTCTACCTTGGACTGAGACCCCACATATTTCTTTTTACATCAATAAGAGGGTCAATTGACCATTACATAAACAGCACGTCATATGAGCAAAGACTCAAAAAATAAATGCAATTGCTGCTTGATATTTACAACATTATTTCAGCAGTTCTTGGAAATATTGTTTTTATTAAGAGTGCAATGTGTGTGTGTAAGTGTGTGTGTGTGTGTGTGTGTGTGTGTGTGTTACAGAAGAACTTTTAGCTAAGCATTTAGAATTCTGGATAGTCAAGTGTTGGGTGGAAAAACAACATTTGATAAAAAGGGAAGAATTACAGAATAAAAGAAACCATCTCTACTCTGCTCAGCAAATGATTCTGTGCTGCATAAACTCTTAGTAGGTAAGGGATGTTCCTCACAAAGTTTTAATGTACTCATGTAATGTACATTACATTTATTGCAATGTGAAAGATTGTCTTTTGAATCTGCTGATGCATGTTCTTGTGAATAGTTCAATACATGTTCAGATTTCTACCTACAATATCCTGCTCAGCTTTGAATGTAGTTTATTCTAAAACTAGTCTGCTGGACTTTAGTTACCTGTGAATGTGAGATATACTTTGTCAACATATCCTGGACAACCTAAAGTTGTTGAGTAATAATTTAAAGTTCTGCCAATGGAAAAATAAGTGGGACACTCTTCATAAGAGAATGAAAATTCATTCTGGTTGCCTAATTTATTCAGTTACAGAACTAAGGGGAAGCATTGGGAAACCTAGGTTACACAGAATAAATAGTATGGAATTATCACTTCCATCATCATCATCTATGGTCAATAAACAAAAAGGGTATGGAACATATTCTCTCTTTATCCCATCACTTTTATTCTGAACATTCTCCTTTTATGCTTAAATAGAGAAGATCCTGTTGATGAATTTATTTAGTTAGTTTTTGTTTTGTTATGCACCACTCAGGGTTGTACAAGTGACCCAGTACACAAGAATTGTAGGGGAGAAATTAAATCAATAAATATTCTCCAGTAGAGGAAAAAAAGTTGTGAAGAACGAGAGCCCAATGATGTTAGTTCTAATTCTCTAAGGTATCAATCACATTTTTCATTTAACAGATACAGTTCCATATCTGTCACTCTATTTCTAACAAGAATTATATACATATTACAACAACAACAACAACATAAGTATAAACATACCGTGTCACCTTTCTCTCCAGACTGCCCTTCTTTGCCTGGATGGCCCTATTTACAAAATATATTGAGGGGAGGAGAAACACTTAATGTGCAAACAACTATATGAATGAATTCATTCCAATTATCAAACAATATTTTATTTATTTGGTGGTTTCTTTATTTTAAAAAGACATAACTGACTTGAAATATCCATCCTCTCCTCCTACAGTAACTTGGCAATTGTAATCTAATTAGGAATAGACAAACTCTACCAAACATCTACTAATGATTACTTTCAGGATCTTATAAGAAGGATTCACAGTCAAAGTGGTATAAGACCAATACAAGTTTACAGTGAATTGAGTGAGGTAATTAAGTCATTGAGGTCTCTGGATAATCTGATACATAATAGCTATTATTTCTATAACCGTTCTGCTGAGAAGGTCCCCAAAATCCTGCTCTAATGACATCACTGAGTAAACATCAGAAGAGTCCATCTGATTCATCAGGTCAAAGTCCAACACATTGGAAGTATTTTGCTTCCCCAGAATGGCTAACCAGAGCTGTCCTCTCCTCCTGGTATTCACTTTTATAAAGATGATGAATGGAAGATTCCATTTTATTGTCAGAGTAAATTGCCTTTAATAGCCACTAATTAACTCCATGTATCAGGGTTTCCATGGGGGACATGACCATATGATTGAAGCCCTGTCCCTCTTGAATATGCATTGCACGTGCATAACAAAAGGGACAGGGCTTTGATCACAAATCTTGACTTCTGCCCCCCACTTCCCAGGATGCCCCTGTCATGTAACAATCTCTTCCAAAGTTGTCTACACCAGGGACCATTTCTACAGCTTGGAATAATGAATTCTATACGTAAGTTACTTAATATGAAAAATTACATAATTTTGTCTGTCCTGAATCTAGGAAAGGTATCGTGACATTTGGGAAGGAGGCAAAATTAGTCTTTAAAATGAGAACACTATAGTACCATACATAGGAGAACATAAGGTTATTTATTTAGAAACAAGTTTTCTTCTCAGTCAAATGCTGAGCCAGGAACCAGATAACATGGCAAAAATTATTTCCTACTCCCACTCCCCTTTTCATATAGAGGAAAGCAGAAATACATAATGAAATGACCACGCTGCAAACTTTCCTCACCCCTCCATTTGTTTGATTGTTACTTGGGGGTGGGGGGGAAAGGGAGGCTGCTAGAGGGCTTCCACCAAAATAAATTATCAGGTGTCACTAGGAAAAAGGAGAGTTTGGGGGGGAGGGTCAGGAAAGCAGATTTTGGTGAATGTCATGTGTTTCCCATAATACATAATTTTAGGCTAAAGACAAATTAGATTCCTAAAATATTTCAAAATAATAACTGACATAGTCCAGCTCTATATGGAATCCAGCATAGCATGAGACTGTTCTTGCTACATCGATAATACCAGCATTTAGAGATTGCCCTTGAAAGTATAAAGTACTATCCAGAATATCAAACCAACAAAGCTGCTCTTCTATTTTAGATCCAAATATTTCTAAAAATAATGGAAAAGCAAGTAAAGCACTTGAGAATTTCTTCATTTGATGTGTTTTCTCTGGAAGATGGAAATTGATTATTTTTATCTGTCACCAAACATTACACTAAAGCACACCATTAAAGTTATGGCACAACAAGATGAAAGAAAACAGTAATAGAAATATTTTACTGCTGGTGAAAATCAATAGCCTGAAGATTTTCCTGTTGGGTTACATCTACATGCAATTTAAGAGCATAATAAATCTTCAGTTTTGTTGTCTATCTCCAAAACGTTAGAATAAATATCAGATTCAGTGTGTGATTTAGGTTGCAATCCTACACAGTTGCTTAGAAGCAAGTCTCACCAAACTGAATTAGACTTGCTTCTGAGTAGAAATGTATAGGATTGCATTATCATACTCATTTCATTTTGCTCTCTTCTTTTAATCCCTCCTTTAGGGCAAATATTTCATTTCTGCTTGCCTTTAAAAGTCCAAGTTGTAACTCAACTCCGTTCTCTATTCTGATCTCCTCCTGTTCAAAAGTGCAATAATAAAAGGATTGCTACAGTGCAGATGTATGCTTCAATCCTATTTTCAGTGACCTGGAAGTAAATCACACTGAACTCAGTGAGACTTATTTCCAAGGAGATCAGAATATGATTGCACTGTACCTGTTATTCTTTATCTTCAGAGAGATCTGGAAAGTCTAGTTGACAGGATGAAAATCGATAAAAAGAATTTTCAACATATTGAGACTAAAATAACCTGGGGAAAGTAATGACAGCTTAACTGGCACAAATTCTATATTATACTGAAGCAAAAACATGTATTAAATCAGGGTTGATTTAACACAGATGTGCTATTCTTCAGATGTGTTAAACTCCTATCAACCCATCAGCACAGATATTGTAACCGATACGAGCTGCAGCCTTGCATGTCTGCAGGGCATCAGCATGGGCAAGTCTTCACAAAATAATGATGGCATCTATTTAAGCACATGTGTTACTATGACCTAAACTTTTGTTCCTCCTCTTCTGAGACAGGGTGGGGGTGGGGGAACCTTTTTCTACTTCTATACCATATGCTCAGGTAATCTCTTTAAAGTTAAATTATTGGAGAAAAAAAAGTTAGTCTCAGATAAATATAGTGCTTATGCCAACTGTAATAAATTGATTTTATTTGTGCAACAAACTCCTTATGCAAGATGCCTAATCAAGTCAGCAGTGTAAAATCAGAGATGGCAGCTAATATAGCCCAGCAGTCCTACGTAAAGCCAAATAGAGATTCAATAATGTGTTTATGTTGCTTATCTGAGGAAGAGGCAGGACAAAGTTTGTCAAGAACCTTCCCAGTCAAGTTGCTTATTATTATCTTTTAACTTGTTGGATCACTAAATTTAAGCCAGCCATAATGGATTAACCTGTGACTGTAGTGAATCCGACCACTAGACTAATTGGTCCAGTACAACTGCTCTTCCTAGCATTGGCTCTACAGGAACTGAAGGAAGAAGTTTTTCCCATTCCAGCAATCCAAGAACTAGGAATGTTGGAAACTGAACCTGGAGCTTTATATATGCAAATCATATGTTTTGTTATTGAGCTTTGGAGTTTTAGGCATCTGACTTCACAAATTATGCATTATCTCCATTTGCCTACAGAGAGAGGTAAAGAGAATCCTGAAGACATGGTCATCCATGTAGAGGACAACTGGTATAATTTGTGTCATTATGACATCATGTAAGAAGAATTATGTAGGGTATGTCATTTGCGTTGTGTGATTGCAAAACTGACACAAATTACAAAATCTACATCTTCTGCACAATGACATCATGATGTGTGTGATGTCATCATGGCTTTTACTGGAACCCTGGATTTAAATAAGGCCAGGGAAGAAACATTATTAATCCATCATGGTGCATCCAATGCAAATCCAAACTTTTGTTTGGTAAACTAGATTGCATTCAACTAACAGCCCAAACTTCTATCTATGTGATAACTTATTTGTTCCTAATAGAGATGCTCTGGCTTACAAAAAGCAGAATAACTTTGTTGTTTGATTTTGAAATTATTTTTTTAACATTGAAATTAAAAGTACCACCATGATTAGAACTGAAAAGCTATGAGCTCAACCTTAACCCAAAAAAGATGAAACATTTTTACCAGCACAGCAAAGTTTATTTAACTTAAAAGATAGCTTTCTCCTAACAATTCTATCATGTTAATTTCCAGTATTTTATATCTGTCCTTGACAGGTTGGGCAACTAAATGCATTTTTTAATTTCAGTTCCAGTGCAATTTCTCATCATTCCCATTTCAATGACCTTTTAAAAAAATAAAGGCTTAGATGAGAAATGTGAATCAGGTTGAAATAATGAAACTGGATATACTTTATATGTTCTGCTTCAAGCTATTGGTGATGCAACTTCCTTGTTGAAATTCATGAGCATAGTGCTGCAAAGTAATTTTTTTTCTTAAAACACAATTTAAAATGGACAAAATTGCATATCACTTACAGGAGGGCCATCAGTACCCGGAAGTCCTGCAAGGCCAGGCTTGCCCTGAGGTCCCTGGAGAGAGATGAAGAAACACTTTTGAAAAACCAATCAAAGATAAGGTAGAATGGCATATTGCCAATGTCTGCAAGCAAAAGATTATTCCTGAATAAAAATGAAAACTCAGTCAGGAAGAAAGAAATGAAGGTAGTACTCCAATATTTAGAGCTAGTTAAACCATTTTGAAGTTGGCATCCAGCTGAAAGATTGGGAATATGTCATTTGGAAGTGATGGTCTGAATTTAAAATCATGGGATGATTTTCCAGAATTACTTTCACATTTGATAAAAGATCAGTTACATATATATACCCTATTCTTTTTATCCAAGTATATTGAACAAATATCTGAAATATGGTGAATTTTGACAGTATGAAAGGTGAGACTCTCAAATAAATTGGAGTGAATATCTGCAAACAATATTTATTTCTCCCATTTTAGATTAATAAAAATGAATGAAGCTGTTCTCATATAGGCAACTATCAACATTCAGATGTTCCCAAGCTATTATTCATGTTTTGCTAACATTCACAGGTAAATACTGTCATTTGCCAAGGGTACTTGGCAAGTATAAGGTATAAATATTAACTAAATTGTGAAATAATGGAATAAAACAACCAGACAATATCAGAAAAATTACATGGGGAAAATAGTTTGAATGAGACCTAAAAGAAATGATTTTAACTAATGTGATTTTTTTTTAGGGTTAGAGCTGTCATGTGATCCCAGGAAAAGATGTGGCTGCTTTAAAAGTTTGCAAATTGATGCTAGGTTTGAACCCCTATGCACTCTGATGCACCTTTTTGGAATCAAATCCATCTTTTTGGAATCAGATCTATCGACATGTGATTGGAACAAAAAGCTTTGGCCTTACTTGAAATTGGCTTAGTTGTTGTCTCAGTAAAACCAGCATTTTGTTAGTATTTATACTCTGTTATTAAGCTACACAGCTGTGAGGGCTGGAGCTTGCAAAGTGGAAATGAGGAGCCTGGGGCCAGACATGACCATTTTGTAAACATATGCCAGGTGCAACCAGGCCAGAGAGAGAGAGAGAGACAGAGAGAGAGAGAGAGATTGCAAGCAGTCTACTACAAAAGGGTGGGAGAAAGAAGCTCAGGGTTTAAATCTTAGGACATACATATATAGAGAATTAGTTTCTCAGCCTTTGTAGAAGTTCCGCTTCATCAGAACAAAATTTGCTTGTATTTGCAACTTATTTACTCAAGCCCAGAGCCTCCTAGAATCAGTTGGAGGCAGTCAGTGCCTAAACTGATTTAAATAAATATTAAATGTATTCTCTAAGCCAAGTATTTGACTTCCCACAAGAGTACTAAATTCCAGAGAAAGAACTGTTACAGTGGATTGGGGGCAACTTTTGATAACAGTAACAAAGGGATGGCAAACTGGTACAAAACTGCAGCAATACCATATGTATTTGAAAGAATGGTCTTCACATCTGTTGCTATCATGGCATTCTCAAAAATCTAACACTATCTTTCCAATTTATTTATTTTATTGCTTTCAGGTAAAGGCAGTTAGCAGCAGGTAAGCCAATCAATGGTTACTAGCCAAGCAGGATATACTGTATATTATCTTCATTATCAGAGACCTGCCTTTCAACATCAGCTTTGGGCATCATGATCATCGCTGTACTCATGTTCAGGTTATGGGTTTCTAAGAGCCTTTGGCTACCATGAAGCAGTCTTTCTGTCTAATTTGGCAGGGTACTTTGTATGTCCTCATCCATGAGATATGAGAAGATGCATCTGATAAACATGTTACTTTTTAGAAATGAAACAATTTAGAAAGAAATTCAAAGGGTAACAAACTATGTCTAGTGTTGATTACAGTATTGATCAAAGGGAAGTACTTTATTGTCTTAACTGGCTTAGTATGAGAAGCTCTTATTGGTACAGTATGCTAGTTTGGTCCCCTCTATTGCAGCTTCCCTTCCTTTCAGCTGTAGAGAAGACTTTTCATCTCTGGAGGCTCTTCCTGAGAGATCTGATTTCTAGAGTTGTATTTCAGCAAAGAATCTCCAAAGATAAAGGAGACTCCCTGCAGCAGTTAGTGCTCTGTGACAACCTGTGACAATCACAGAGAATGAAGATGAAGAGCAAAATCTTCATTTGCATCACTACTCTTCAAATGACTTAGAAAGTTTGGTAAAGGATGATTTACCAAAGAACCCCAAGCATGAGAGAAGAGCAAAGAGAAATAGGCTATATTTGACACAATGGAAAACTAGTCCACGCAAAAACTGACTTGGCATTGCCCAGCGCAGATGAATAATGTCTCCTGGAAAGGGACGTGAGGAGAATTTCACCTGGGGCCAGGGACGTCTGCCAGAATCTACATCTGCCTCATCCTCATGAGACTGACAGGAGCCAAGGGCCATTTCAGGCATTCCACGTATGCACATCATCTCTATGGAAAATAGATGTGCTTAGAAGTTCACCTATTCCAGTGTGAAGACCCAATCAGGACATGTTCTAAGTCAAGGAAAAGAATCCAAAGAACCAGGGTGATTTTTAACAGTGAGCTATGGAGCTCAAGTTTTTCTGTCTAGTACCAACTGGCTTCACTTGACCTTCAATATACAAAAGAAACTCTATTCTGAGGGCCAGTTGTAATTAGTTTATTCTTTGACATAAGCCTATTCTTTGACATTAATTGCTATTTTGACTTCAAGTGTCATTGACTCCATTTCAGGTGTGATTGATTCCATTAGGCATTGATTCCAGAAAAACACATTATGGTACAGAGAGCCACAGAGACAACGTAGGCAGAGACAACAGTAACAAAAACATGCTTTAGACCCAGGAAACAAAGAAAGCATGAGAAAGAAGCTGAGACTGACTTGACCCTAATTCACTGGAGTCTAAAAGAGAAGGAAAGGAGAACTCAAGCGTTCAAGATTCTGTACTATAGCTTATATCAATTACATATAGTTATAGAACAAACTTGTGGAATGTGTTTTTTAACCTGGCCTATCTTGAAGGGCTGACATACAGGTGGCAAAGCTGAAATTAGCATTTTCAAACATAGAAATATATCAGTCACCCCTGGTGACTGATGGACCTGGAGGGGTTCCAGAGGGAGTTGGGGGTTGTTCCTGCTGGTCTGCTGAATGGTCCATCCGAAACCTTGGTTGCTGCCTGGAATAAAGGGGCAGCTGAGGCTTTGGAGTGGATCATGCTCTCAAGGATCCCATCATTCCCTGTGGTTTACAGAGGGCTTGAGGGAGATGAAATGAGAAAAGAGACATCTAGAGCATCACTGGCACTCATCTAAGTACAAACTCGACTGAACATGGGTTAAGGCCACTATTAAGGCCTACCTTGTGGTGGTAAGGGTGGCAAAGTGTCAGTATTCCTCTGTCCTTATTGCATCTGTAGATTGCCACCCCACAGCCCTATTTCGAGTGATACGGGCCCTCTTTTGTAAAAGGGGCCCAGAGAACCTTTTGCAGGGTTGTGTGGAGGAATTTGCTCAGCATCTGTCAGATAAAATCATTCAGATTTGTTCGCAGCTGAATGCTAGCTTTGCAGCAGGTCTGGGAGAGATGCCTAGCGTGAAGTCTTGTCCGGTTATCTGGGAATGGTTTGAACTGTTGGACCTGAGGAAGTGGACAGGGTCCTTAGGACTGTGAGCTCGGCCACCTGCACCTTAGACCCATGCCTCTCCTGGCTTGTGAAAGCGGCCTAGGGGGTGTTGTGTGGGTGGGTTCTAGCAGTGGTGAATTCTTCTTTGAATGAGGGGGTTGTTCCTTGGCCTCTTACGAAGGCTTTGGTGTGCCCCCTCCTCAGGAAGCCATTGCTGGACCCCATGATACTGGGCAATTTTCATCCAGTACCCAACCTCCCCTTTTGGAGGAAGGTGATTGAGAAGGTGGTTGCACAGCAGTTTCAGAGGACCTTAGATGAAGCGGATTGTATGGATCCTTTTCAGTCAGGGCTTAGACCTAAATATGGTATGGAAATGGCACTGGTTGCACTTTTGGATGATCTGTGGTGTGGGTGAGATGGGGGTTGTGGGGGTTGTGTATCCATCCTTACTTGACCTCTCAGCAGCCTTCAGTACCATCAACTATGGTATCCTTCTGGACTGACACAGAGGATTGTGGGTGGGCAGCACGGTGTTGTGCTGGTTCACCTCCTTTCTACAGTGTCAGTTTCAGTCAGTGGTGATTAGGAAGGAGAGCTCCCACCCTTGGCCCCTACTATGTGGGGTGCCACAGGGATCAGTGCTCTCTCCTCTCCTATTTAACACCTGCATGAGACCACTGGGTGAGCTCATCTGTCACTATGGGGTGAGGTATCATCAGTATGCCCCAAACAGATCCTGTGCACAATCAGGGGGTCCTCCTGGACTCACGACTCCTGCTCAATGAGCAGGTGGCAGTCGTGGCTAGGAAGGCCTTTGTACAACTTTGTATGGTGAACCAGTTGTGCCCATTCCTGAATCAGGGGGACCTTCTCATGGTCACTCATGCCCTGGTCACCTCCTGGCTAGACTACCACAATGCGATCTACATGGGGCTGCCCTTGAAGAGTATCCGGAAACTTCAGCTGGTGCAAAATGCAGTGGTGCAAGCAGTTATGTGTGCTTCTGGTAGAACACACATTACACCTCTGCTTCACAAGCTGCATTGGTTACCAGTTTGTTTCCAGGTCCAATTCAAGGTGCCTGTGTTGACCTTTAAAGCCCTAATGGCGTGGGTCTGGGTTACTTGAAGGACTGCCTCTCCCTGATTTCATCTGCCCACCCTACCAGATCAGGCAGAGGGGGCATGTTATGGGTTACGATGCCTAAGGAGCGACATTTGGTTTTTTCTGCTGTGGTGCCTTCCCACAAGGTGAGGTTGGCCTTGTCACTGTTGGGTTTCCAAAGTTCCTCAGGACTTGGTTGTGCCAACAGACCTAGGGACCCCGGGGGACGGGTGATCTAGTGACGTGGCTCCATTATTTTTAACATCTCTTCACTACTTTTTTGTAGTGAAATTAATATTTTAATTTTTAAAATATTTTTATACTTTTTAATGTATTTATTGATTTTTTTTTTAACCTTGTTGTTAAAAAGTGAGATGGGCGGCTAATAAATTGTGTGAAAGAAAGAAAGAAAGAAAGAAAGAAAGAAAGAAAGAAAGAAAGAAAGAAAGAAAGAAAGAAAGAAAGAAAGAAAGAAAGAAAGAAAGAAAGAATTCTGATATTGTAAATTCAAGGCAAGTGGAAAACAGAATAATGCTTAAACCCTTTACAAGCAAAATGCATGTGTTCTACCACCAAGTTACAGACTTTTCTCCACACAGAGTATTTGTAAATAAGTTGAGAGGTCTTAAGAAAAGTAGCATTGCATTCCAGGGAACTGGGCTGCTATCTGAAACTTATTCTTGGGGGAAAAAAAATCAGACCACATCCCCATATTTTAAGAAAGCAGAGATTTGGCACTGATTATTCAGCAAAGGAATATTCCTTACTTTTTCACCTGGAACTCCAATTGGACCTTGTGGACCTGGAAGTCCCTGTTAAAAAATTAAAAACACACCATAAGGAATCTACAAACTTGTACAGCTATTTTCTTAAATAGCTTATCATTAAATTCATCTTAAATTTTCTTATCATTAGAAGGAACTTTTTCTCAGAAAATCCTTTTTAGTGAAATGCAATTAGAGAAAACAAGATAATTGTGAGAGCTTTCACATTGGCTGCTCTGCTGGCAACGGGGTTGTGATATGATCCAATATGAAACTCTCTTATAGCTATGGCTATTCTTGTTGGTATTTACAGAATCTAAGAGTCATCTTTCTCTCTCTCTCTTCCCTGCTCCCCCCCCAAAAATAAATTTATTTGGAAGATTTGTGAAAATGTGATTCAAAAATTTACTCCCTTTTATACTAGGATTATATCTAAGAGAATAAGCCAAGTAAGGGCACACGGGACCAGAGAAATGTTTATCCCCACCCTTCATGCCTGATTTCTTGAATGTCTTCTTAATGCAAAGGCTACAAAACAAAGGCTTACCTGTGGACCTGGAATACCTTGCTGTCCAGGTGGTCCTGGTTCCCCTTGTGGACCCTGTTATATGAGAAATGCACAGAAGAATATTAGTGCCTTCATTACTTCACATCATAGCTTCACAAATATGTGGAGTTTACAGACATGGTGGAGGAATTATCTCTTAATTTCTCCTCCAGATATTTTTGTCCCATGGTGACTTCAAACCATTAAAACATTAAAACAAAATTAATTTGTACCCTACATAGTGCCCCTGACTAGTATCTGGGGAGGTAGATGAAAGATGCAGTTTTTATCCCAAAGTATCTGAGGAACATACAAGTAAGTTTAAAGCATTAATAGGAGAATGACCAATTTATATATTATTTTGGGGGTTCTTTGAAAAAAAAACTGTATTAACCTCAGCCACCCAAACAGAAAATAATTGAATCTACATACCAGGTTTCCTTTTGGGCCCTGTGGTCCATCAACACCTGGGATTCCCTACATAAAAAGTACAAAAAAACTAATATAGGTCACCACCATGTTCAAAGGAAAATTCAAAATATAAGGTATTCTTTATGAAATACATACAGGTTGTCCTGGTGGGCCTGGAGTTCCTCTTGGGCCCAATAACCCTCGTGGACCCTGTGGGAAAAATGTTGCGTATAATTAGGTTTTCGGTTCACAGAATACACTTAAAAACAATGTAATGGAAAGGCCTCCAGTAAAACCCAAAGAAAATAGCAAAGGTTAAGCAGTTTAATAGCTAATTGTCATCAATTACTGTGATAAAGAATTCAGTCTTCCCTTCTTCCTGTTTTGTACAATGGAAAAAGCAGTTGTACAAACATGGTAATACTGGGTCTAAGGCTTTTGAGACCAATATTCTCAAAAATAGGTCTGTAGACCACCAGCGGTCTGCATAGCCTCACCACATTCATATGCCAGAGATCTTTCACTGCTGTAGCCTAGCCTTTCCATGTATGCTGACCTCAGCCCCACCTCCAATGCACAGCAAGAGTCAGCTGATTTTCAAGAAAGAATCAGCAGCTAAAAATTGGTCTATTGAAGTCTACAAGTGATAATACTATTAGCTATGTGAGAACCCTGACAATGGTGAGCAGGTCTTGAATGAGGTTACCTATTGTAAATCTGCATATGCTGTGCTAAGTGGAATTCTGATCTCATGTAGGCAAACCAGAAAGGAAAGGATTAATAGGGAATACAATTATCAATGTACAAAATGAGATTTCATTGGCGTGAAGATCTCACCCCACTCTCTTATTTCTAAGACATTTCTACTATAAAACATTCTTGGCTAGCAAATTTGTGTACAGGTTATGTAAAATAATTAAAGAGATAAAGAAATATTTAATTCTGGGTAATTTTTATGTACAAAGTTCAGTTTAAAATGGCCTTTAAAAATGAACAGGAAGGCATACATGGCAAAAACGCAGCCATAATCCTTATCTTAATTTGCCAAAAAATGTGAACATTAATAATCTTAAAGACAAAAATGTAGGGAGGTGATATATGTTTAACTGGGTGATCCACACATTTACTAAAGTGGTCCACTAGCTTAAATGTACTAGAATGTTGCCAAAGTCCCATTAGTAATTTTATTTTGTTTACACTTTAAACTAAAAAATATGTAACAAAATCAACAAATTAACACAAACATATAATGTCAAAATAGACCATCCTTGGGAGAAAAAATGGGAAAATCTACTAAAGAACTTAAAATATTGCAACTGTAACCGAGCAAAAAAGAAGAGATCTAACAGAATCGAAGGGGACCCACATTGGAGGTGACAATGGCCATTATAATCAACTGGCCATTATAAACAAAGCTATATCAGCCCACCTACCCTAGTCAGAAGATATATTGGAAAGGATCAAACTAGCCACACTAATCCAAAAAATCCAGATTGGGTTGCTATTACTTATTCTCCACCCTTAAACAGAAAGGAAGACCAGAAACTCACCAATAGTTATATAAAGTAATGGGATCCAAATAAGGTGTCTTAAAGAGAAATTTCCCAATTATTTATATTGGAAAAGCAGCAACATATTCTTCTTTTAGATACAACTATGGAAGCCCATTTTGTGTAGTGATTAAAGGCACTGGACTAGAAACCGGGGGATGGTGAGTTCTTGTCCTGCCTTAGGCATGCAACCAGAGGGTTGACTTTGGGCCAGGCCCTCTCTCTCAGCTCTAGGAAGGAGGCAAAACCAAACTACTTCCGAAGGAAACTGCATGGATTTGTCCGTGTAGTCGCCAGGAGTCAAGACTGACTCAAAGGTATAAATATACATTTACAATTATATATAGTAATATGTTTTCAGAGGTTCAAAAAAGTATATAGTTTAAACTGAAAATTAAGGAAAGTCTCTGTTAAAATTGCAAAGATGCCATTTTGAGAGCAATTTGAAAAGCCACTAATTGCTGATCTTTTTTTCTGAAATCCAGGCCATCTCAATTTTGCGATTACTTAGAAGCTCTGAGCTGTTTTCCTACTTCCAACATAAAGACATGGATAGCATGAGTTCCCTTTCCTATTCCACCTGAGGATTCTAGGATCAGTAGAAAAGGCACCATACAAGTTATTTACTTTCATGCAGAATCTTTTTCCAATTAAAAAAAAAAAAAAGAATCTCCATATGGACAGGATGTACCTACATGCAAATGTACATACATAAGAATTTTAGAACCAAGACGGAAAAATTAAGATTATTTTCTATTCCTTGTTGCGTTCATGCACCAATCCAAGAAATTTACAATATGTTCTACACCTGAGATTCATTTTCTTCTATAGCAGCCAAAAAATCCTAAAAGATCAATGTGAATTCTATATTTATTCATGTAAGATGGATCCATATATTGTTGCAGTGATAGAATTCCCCAAGTGGGTCTTGTGGTGAAATTCACTAAAATGAAATAAGCAAGCAAAGGAAAAAAAAGTCCATGACTATTCATGGATAAAAATATAGCTGTATCAACAGGAAAGACAAATAACATTAGGACACTTCAATGAGGAAAAAATGTTCTAAGAACTCTTTATGAACAAATCAGATATATCAGCTGAATTTGTCCCCTAGTTATATTTGATTCCAAAATGGTGCCCTGGATAGAGTACAGTATTTCTTTTTCAGAGACAAACAGATTCACAGCAAAGGCAATCATGAGTGCTAAACAAAGAGGAAGCTTTGCTTACAGCTTCACCTGGAAGGCCTCTTGGTCCAACCTCACCATCTTCTCCCTTGTTTTAAGAAAACAAAAATCAAAGGGGTTAAGCGTGAAAGAAACACTTCCTTTCAACTTTTATTTTGCAGATGAAAAAAAGAAGGAAAACTGAATAACATACTCTCATTCCATCTTCCCCAGGAGCACCAGGAGGTCCTTGTGGTCCACGATCTCCCTGAAGAAAAAACATGTTAAAATCACATTTTTGGGAAGAGATAAAATTGTGTGCTGATGCATATGCTTAAGCTTCATGCTGGCATGTCAAGGCATGGGTCCACTAAAAAGATACAAATATCTACATTTTATATCGCACCACAAATGCTTCTATTCAAGGCTGGATTCAAGGTATTGGCCATAATCCAACACAGAATAAAATGTGCTTAAACCCACTGAAATTAGCAGGCTGAAATGTGTCTAATTCCATGCCAGGTAGTGGACAATATTTATTCATTCTCTTCTAAACAAAACACATTTCTAAGAACACGCCATGGGTTTCCACATTTTCCAACCCTGCTCACTGGACATCAGAAATATGAACAAAGTTCCTATTAAGCCAAAATAGCTTAGCATTTCCTGAGTAATTTTATACCTATATGTTTAGAACTTAATGACAACCACAATAAATGGTGCTTGTATGATGAATGAACCTTCAGTAACCTAACATTGCAGATATTATCTGATTTAATCTATCATCATATAATACTTTTCAAAAGAATCTACCAGTCACTGATTAAGACATCAAACCAGATCACAGTTTAATGTACTTCTAGCTTATGCATCCCCTCTCTTCTCTGGGACACCCATGATGGGATGTTGGGAAATGTTCATGTCCATGTTTTCTTAACAATAGTTTGCTATGTCATCCAGCTGCAGAAACTATGGTTAATCATACCCATGGAGAATTAAATATTGAATTATAGTTTAGTAACAGGGAAAGCAAGATTTTGGAAAATCTCCTTATGGCTGTGCTAAAGGGGAGAACAGGAGGGACCCATAAGCCCAAAGTTCAGTGTGACTCATCCTTAGTATCTCAACTATGCTTTTGCCTGATGTCCAAACACAGCTATTAATTTCTGATTAAAAGCTGAAATATTAAGCAAAGTTCCTACTGAATGACAACAGTTATGTTTCCTAGGGAGCAAAAAATTGTGTCTGAATTCAAATCAAAAGCCTTTGGATCTTGGAGGCTTAGAATGAAAAAGACTTTTATGTTCAAACTATATAAAATAATCTAAATGCATGCACACACTTCAAATTTGCACATGGCAATCCATATCTAAACTCTGATAAAGGTTTGATTATTTGAAATTTCAGGATGGCAAAGGATGGTTTTTCCCAAGTTAATTTTCCATTTTTGAAATATATTGTTATTTGTACATATAGGGAGATTCTAATATTGATGGTGTTGTTTCCAGATGCAGAAAAGAAGCGGTCAAGAAATTAGTATCAAATGTGAAGTTAAATATGCAAGGAATACATTGATGTGATAGCCAGTCATTTACCTAGCCTTAGCAAATATATTCACAATAGCAGGACCATAGGAGACATGAAAGAAGTTAATAAACAATGAGTGAGAATAGTCACAATCTTATTTCACTTCTTATTTGTAGGGAATGTTTAAGTAATTGGATCTTTAGACAGTCAGATCTGAGTAGAACTAATATGTGCTTCCTGGACTAATGTATAAATTAGAATTATGTTTTGACTCAGAAACTTTCCAAAATACCCCAAACTGACATAGTTTATGACACATACATCTAGCTAAAAAAATGTTAATGCTTATTTTGTGAGAAAAGTACATATTTAAATTTTCTTACAGATCTCTTAAACTGTACATTAATATGCAAACACAAAGCTCCCAGATTGTGAATGAACACATGTAAAACCATCATGAACCAAAAATAGGCTGACTGAATTCTTACTTTTGTATAGTTTTGTATGTAAGATGTTTATCACACTTTTCATTGATAAAAGAATTCAAAAGTATATTTAGTTCTTATTTGTATTAAGTTTCTCAAGTGAGAGAGTTCTATACACTTTGAGCTCTTACACTTTGCGAGTTGGGTATAGAATTGCTGTATAAGTTAACTTAGTAAGGACCCTCACTTCACACAACGAGAATAAAAAAGTGACAGATGTATGTAGGCTGTGGAATGTACATTACTCTTCAATTACTTACTTAGCTCCCCTCTGCTAGAAGAAGACAGGGTACAAACATCATGGTAAGATAGGATTTGTGTGGTCATGTTGGCTAGAAATTCTGGATGTTGTAATCCAACAGACTGGAAAAGCTTACCACCATCCATAGTTTACAAATCACAATACTCCAAAGCCAACAGCAAATGAACTACATTATTGTTTAATTTGACATATGAACAGCATCTAAAAATCTGTCATTAACGTAGCTATGGAAATGAATTTGCTTGTAAACAGCTCAAAATTTCAACTGAACTCAATTTTCATAATTGTATTATTAGCTGTGAAGTATCCTGAGAGTCCTTTGCATGGAATGATACAGGGGAACTTATCTAAAATGTGTCCCTATGGACTTAGCATATGAGTCTTCCTATTATAGACATACATATGATTAAAAGGAGACAGTGGAGAGAAGCAATGTATGCTGGCTGTTGCAAAACGGCTAGGCTACCATATTATTCAAAATTTTATATGGAGGGGACATCAATTACTTCCTATAGGTTCTTTACTAAGGGGATCAATAAGTAGACTTGGGATATGGCAGATTGTCATTTCAAAAATGTATCATTTTAAAATTTGTGCACATTTTATCTTGTAACTTCAGGTCTACCCAGTGCTAAAGTATGTATAGCTCCTGAATTCAGAATTCACCTAACTCTGTTTTTCATGAAGGTATGATTGCCCTGGTTTTAACATTTATAAAGCTCAAGCTGAAAAATAACCATAACATAAGAGGATGTGATAGTGCAAATAGTCATCTATAAATAGAAGCAATATAAAGACAAGTACCCATGGTTTTAAGGAAACAGGCACCTAAAGGTCATACAAAATTGCTAGCTCAACCAAAGCAGCTTAGACAGAGAACGGAGATGGGACTATGGGAATATTTATCAGCCATGGAAAAGACTCCTGGAGTGATGTATGTAAGTAGCACAATAGTGATTAATGTACAGTGCCCTCTGCTGGACATTTACTTCATTGATTTGATTTTCAAAAGACTGCACTTTTTCCTACTCAAAATGTTTGGTGCTCTACATATTCCACAAGTTAAATATCGATATACACAGCTAGGGTCAATGCCATGGGCAATCACCAAGGAGGTACATGAAATATAAATAGTTAATAAAAACCCAAAGAGATAGGGTTAACATTACCCAAGCTATTATTATGTCAAATTTTCAGAGTAAAAACAATTCTTTGGGGAAAAGAAGACCTGTTTGTCACATACAAACTTCCACTTGCTGAAAAATGGACATTCTTTTTTTCAAACAGTTGTGGAGCGGCATCTAAAACTTCACTTCCTCAAATGCATTTTGCAATGTCTTTGCACCATTGGTATCATGTACTTTAGAAATGAAGGCTTTAAGCCAATCTATCGGACAGAACAGAGTTAGGGCTGGGAAATTTATATTATGGAATTCCTTTTTGTGAATTTTTTTTTTAAATGTTTGTGCATATTCCAGCCATTGAGTTTCCTTCATATCCTGTCTGGCAGTACAGAAATAGGACAGATTAATACTAAAAGTCAGTCTTTTGTCTGCTGATCAGCAGAGCAGTACAATTCTGCTTGCTATACTTTAAACTCCAAATTCCAATTTAGGAGGGACTTGAAATATATCACCAGTAATCTGGAATGTGAGGTTGTAGTAAGAACAATGATGCAGCACTGCTGCTATGGGAAATCAGCAGCCTCCTCCTTTGCCGTTGTGATTTACAAGCAAAATTGAAATGAAAGATAAACAGATGCAAACCACCTTGCCTGCCAGAATATAATGTTTAGCTTGAATGACACCTGGTTTAAATTGTATTGTTGTAGTTATGTGCTTTTGGTTTCTTTTCCTTCTCCTCCTTCCAAGCAATTAGAAGGTATAAAGGGTAAAGCAGTTTTAACAGAGACCTGGGTGGGTATCTGTGAATATCTGTGATCCTGCACCATTTGAGATGATACTGAGCAGAAAATGACTGATTTAGGGATGGGCTCAAATTAGCATGAGGGATGGTTGCATATATGTATAGGGAATGGTCTGAAATAAGGCCAAAACCAGCTGTTTTGGAGTCAAGGGTTGGGGGGGGGGGCTTCTTCTATTATTCCCAAAATTATTCCACTAAACCCGAGGGATCTGCAAGAACTTGATGGGATCCCGTGAAAGATTACAGAGGAAAAAAAAGTTTTTTTGAATACAACCAATTTTCTATCATTAGAGTTTTGCCTCATGATCAAGCATTCTGGGGTTTATTTTTCTTAACTAACAAGTTCTGAAAAAGTTTGAAAATCCTTGATATGAGTTACCACCTTCAATCTACAGCAGTATTACTGACTTCAGTGAAGAGGTATTTCAATCTGGCCAATGTAGATCTGCAGATATATTCAAAGTCTGCACCCCATACATATTAATTTACTATTTGTTAGATTTACCTTCCATATGTGGAGATAAATCTCACTGAACTAAATGGGAATTACTTTTGAATAAACAGAGGTAGGATCGTATTGAAATGACATGGCTCTGGAAAATGTCACAGTTGCTTTGGATAATAATTCCAGATGTAGTTTTAATATACCCACATTTTTAGATAAAGAAACATGCATCTTTTTCCTACCCTGTGTCCTTTGTCACCTGGTAGACCAGGAAGCCCATCAAAACCTCTGTCACCCTAATAGGAATAACAATGACAACAACAGTGTGAGCAATTCATTCTTGCATAGTCTTGATAAGCTAAATGGATTCTACTATTCATCTATTTTATTGATGGATACAGTTGCCCTAAAACTGAATGTTGCTTGGATATGCAACAAATAATAATCCTAACGATGATATTTCTAAAGCCTAGTTGGAAAGATAAAGGCGGCCTTAAAATGTTCTTGGGTATGGGTGAAATTTTCAAATCTGGGAAGGTATACTTCATATGAAACAGCAAGAAGTAAGTTTCTTCTCTTTTCTTTAGACCAAAAGACCTCCAAAGTCTTCCCCCATTTCAAGACGTGGAGGGGCTGTTCCTCAGATTACTAAGAAACATCTGTTTTCACTTCCAGACATTCACTCATTCAGAAGGAAACTACATCATGAAGTGAGTTTGTTCCTGGTATATTGCAAAGAACAGCTGACATCATAGAACAGCCATACTTTCCCCAAGGGTTTTCTTTAAAAGTGACCCAGTTTCCTTTATTTGTTAAGGCCTGCAAGCCATGAAGGCACATCACCGTATGCAAAAATGGAGCAGCAAGTGTGTTACTAGAGCATTACAAGCTACAATACTTCTGTTTCTTAGATATAATTCCTTACTCTGCTCTGCAAAGTCAATCAGATTCAATCATGTAAGGGTACAAATGGAGACATCTGGTTCCTAGTGGATAACTGGACACTACTTCAACCCCCAAATAGTCAAAATCCATAACTACTAACCTTGGAACCTGGCTCTCCTGGCATTCCTCTGGCTCCATCTGCACCAGGACGACCCTATGGGGAAAAAAATGTCTGTTTCTGTAGGTGAGGCATATACAACCCCAAATTAGAAACAACCTGCTCTCATTCTATAATTCTAGAGGTGCCCTTTTTATCAAATGTGAACTTTTTTAAAACATCAAAACTTACTCTTTTGCCAGGTTTTCCAGACAGACCAGGTGGACCTTGAATACCTCGAGGACCCTGAAAGTATATGCATATGTATGTAAGTGTACATGTAATACATATATACTATATAATATATATACAAACTGACTACCTCTACTACACTGCATCAAGGACATCATGAGGAGATTCTGCTTCATTATTATTCACCTTAAACTAAGTCTTTAATTGATGTCAACTAGAAAGCCAGTGAAAATATATTGATTTTAAACAAAATGAAGAATAACCATGTGGAGTCCTTGATGCTCTCTGACCTTGGTTGTTTGATTGCAGACATTTCAATACCCAACTAGGTAACAACATGTTACTTAACTGGGTAATGAAATGTCTGCAAGCAAACATCCAAGCTCAGAGAGCATCAAGGACTCCACAGTTCAACCATGAGCTACAGTTATTATCTTCTATTGGAAGAATAACCAGTTTGCAAAATTCTTCCAGTATTTTTATCCACTTGAAAAAGATTAAAAAGGAGGACTTTTCCATAGACTTCAACACCCATTAAATACATTTATTTAAACTATACAAGAACTTAAAAATGTTTTTAAGTTCCTAATCCACAATACATTACTGTATATTATGAACAGCTCAAGAGATTAATTATTATGGCATCCACATTCCTTTTGCTGATTCAGAACTTGATCCCTGAACTAGTCATGGAAGTACTGAACACACAGATGTGGTTACTTATAAGGCAGCTAAGGAAGAAAAAACAGACTCTATTAACTGCGGATTAAGGAATCTATCCCATGTGAATACATCTCTGATTAGATCCTACATTATCTGATCTGTGTCTCTCCAGGCATAAATCTGTCATTCTCTCTTCTTTGGTGGAATCACAGAATTTAAATCAAAATCTTTGATGAGTTGTTGTTTAATATTTTAAACAAGATTTCATTCATTAGATGTCCAGCTGTACAGTCTGAAGAGGAGAGGGACAAATTTGTCAGCTCCATTTTCTCTTACATTTATTTTTTTAAATAAAGACATTAATCCTTGAAAGGCTTTCAGACACTAGTAAGCTGTTTTTTTTTAATGAAATTCTCCTATATCCATACTATAAATACTCTATTTTTCATTTACTATATTTCTATAACCCTCCCTATGTGATCAGATCTCAAAGTTGTTTACAATGCATTATTCTAGTAGGAATATGCAAAATATTTACAGCTTTTTACATGCCATGTTTGCAATTATAGGTAAATACTCCGAAGATTTGCAAAAATATTAGATCCATAAAGCAGGGATTAGGGGCAATATCACAGGTAACACAAAATATTTGGGTCCTACTTGCATTTTTATGGGGAAAAGATGAAAAATAAACTAGTAAAAACTAGGATAGTATTCAGTAAGTCAAGGAATATCTATATGAGGGGAGCAGAGAACAGAAATCATTAGTTCTCTGGAAACAAAGTGATATAAGCCCTATAAACAGGAATTTGTTACAAATGCATATCATGCAAACAAAAAAGAGCTATTACAGCATTGCTGGTCTCTTGGCCTGTTGGGGATAGCATTAAAACTGGGTGTTATGTTTATCCAACTAAATTAATATACATTCTCAATGTTAGAAAAAAACAAGAATGAAAAAATACCAAAAAAAATTAAGGCCGATGCTTGAAGCCATAAGGTTTGCATTTCAAAGTAAATGCATTTCAAAGCAAGTCCCCACATGGAGGTTGCGGACTGAATGCAGTGCCTCCTTGGATACTGTTGAGATCAGATTATACATGAATTTAAGGACAAATTGCCTTATGAGACGATTCCTGCAATTATTGTGACCACTGCAGTAGCTCTCTGGGATTAAAGCTTTGACCCCACTACAAATCTACCCTTTGCATTTGTTTATTTGTTGTTGATGACAGACTCTTACCTGAGGTCCTGGATCTCCACAGTCACCTTTGGCACCTGATGAACCAGGACCACCCTGCACCAAGGAAAAATGCCCAACGACACACTGTTTAAGTTCAATCTAACTCACATTTTAGCACAGAAAAATAAGTACTTTTGTATAGCGCATTATGATTACTTGAGACATGTTCACATTAAACAGGCTCATAATTTTATTTAATGCATTCCGGCCATCATGTTAAACCTAAAATTTGCTGTGTCAGAGAATAAATACTTTAAAGATGCTGCTCAACCCATTTCTCTCAATAATAAATTGAGGGCACATCCACACGGCCTTTGGCACTAATCTGGATTCACACCCTGTAATCTCATGCCAATGTCACTGATAGGCAGCTATGGGTCCACCTCTATTTTCAATTTGCAGTGCTGGAGCTCTGTGGGTTAGGGAGAGGTTGTTCATTGCCTCCCGGTTATCTGCATGTTTCAAGATTTTTCCATAACAACACCACCAACAACCTGGTGCACGTTGATCCTGAGTTCTCACAATTGCTGTAAGGACAATCATGAGCCATTGTGAGGACAGAGCTCTGAAGTTTTAGACAATGACAGTGGCAGCTGTGTGGAAGAATCCTGAGATTCTTCAGTTTCACTCACTCTAGACTTCAAAGCTAGATACCTGAAAATCCCAACAGTCACCGTTTTTTCTTTTAGGGTACCCTCTTCCCGTTTTTGTAAGTAAAAAGAGAAACTACACTTGAGGAAGGGACTGGATAGCATGTTGCAAAAGCCTATCATCAATATCAAAAAGATCCCTCCAATCTAATTGGTGAACATATGTGCAGAATTTCCTGTCAGGGCTGATGAAGGCTGTAATACAATTCTGCAGAGGAAAAAATATCCTATGTTTTAGGAGAGGTCCAATGGGAAACTCTCTGTACTGATAAGAGCTCTACCCTATCTGCTCTTCCCTTTAAAGTCCTAGTGAGATCTTCCTCTCTGTTGGAGATGGTAGATGACAAGCAAGGACTTTGGGGTGAAATGCAAACCCCAAACTTAATAAGAACTCTAATTAAAGGTAGCCAATTCAGCCTAAAAAAAGGCAAGGATAGGTGAATGAGAAATCTAAGATCGATGGGAAGAGGGAACTCACCTTCATGAATACTTAAAAGTATAAGCATTATGCCTTGGATTTCCAAAAACAGTACTCATGCTGAGTTAGAACACTAGCATTTTAGCAACTGTTCCTTGAATCATTTATTAGAAATTCTAGCCTTCTTTCTGGAGGGGAGGCATGTTATAGGAGAGGAGAATGAAGCTTGACAGAAGAAACCCCCCTCTTTTTTTTTGTTAATGTTCTAAATTAGATAAAAATAGTTGGATTTCTCTAGCCTCCTAGTGGCCTAAGTGGAAATTGGTTAAGGTAACCATTTTAATGCAATTCCTGACTCACACTAAGCCCTGACTCAGAATTTAGGTTCTGGCTTCTATAGCCTAATTACTTCAAAGTAACTTCCACTGAAATCAGCAGCACTGATTAAATATTAAATATTGTATTTGTATGTAGGGATGGGTGTTTTTTATTACATTTCAGTTACAGGTCGGCAGAATGTGTAGCTTGCTAATTCACAAGTGTGGTCATACTCCCTGATTTGCTCCTGTACCTGGCCAGCCGAAAGTGAGCCCTTTTCCAGTATAGTAAGATCCCTTGTCTATAGTTGGCTATAACCTCTTTCGAAAAGAAAATTATATTGCACTGAAAACTTAGGAGATAAAACAATGGCAGGAGCAGCAAAACAACTCCAAGGAACCCTGTTTTTAGTGACAGATGACAGAGGGGCTCTCTGGCTGCAAGGCACCTTCAGACATCAGACACTTGTGGTGGTCTCCTCTATTGGCAGCAGTCAACAAAGTCATCCTGATTATCTGGAAATAGTGCACTGAATGGGAGCAGAAGGACCAGTTTTGTTTCCTCTTATCCTACAAATCATAGAGGCTAGAGAGGGCTAATTGTAGAGCTATATGGACCAAAGGATATGAACCAAAACTATGCAGCCGGGGAACAGTTTACCACAATGTTTCATTTTATTCTTCCTGTGCTAAGAAGGATTTTAATGACCAGAAACCTAGAAAGGGTAGTGCTTTCTTCCTGCAGAATTATAGTTTGGAATGTAATAAGTGGTCTTTCTATGAAGATTCCTTTGCATTCGCTCCAACTCATCCCTTTTTATCTATGCCTCTCCTATTCCTTTTCTTTCTGTGTTTTATCTATGCCAGGTGCTGTGGCAGGTCTTTCCCATATTCATTTCAATTGTTCATTTATGGGTTCTAAAATATTCTGCTAGTTGATGGCAGCCTGTAAATTAGCAAATAATGCTATACTTCCCAGACTAACTGTGCTGAGCATAAACTAAGTGACAAGCTAGAGGAACACAATCCCACATCAACCCATCCCAGAAGTTTTTGGTTGGGGATTTTAAAATGAACACATTTGATTTGGGAATGTCTAAAAGAAATTGGGACTCTATTGGGACTTTATTTTGCTTGTAAACAGGAGAATATTACAAACGCTTACTAAGAGGGCCTTGCAGGCAATTAATTGTTGACAGATCCCTTCCTCTCACTTCTTCTACTTTTTTTCTTTTAAGAATAATTACTTCCATTTTGCAACTGACAGACTCTTGCATGAGTATATGCAAGCAAGACATTTTCCAGAAGGAGATATCTTGTCTATTGCAGATCATAACTCTTCACCCATCAATTATTCTACAAACTGACCCACCTCTATTTGTCTACATCTTCTTCACTCTAGGAAGAAAAGAATTGAAGATACATTTCTGAAGTCCTGATCCTTGGAAAAATAAGTTGTCATTTATAGTAAAACATGGAGCTTGGGACTAGGAACCATGAGAAAGATTCATTGAGATCCACATTGAAAGGCCTTTACTTGACTTCATGAATAAGGTAAATATTTGCCATCACCACTACTACCAAAATCATCAATACTTTTACAAACTTTCTGTACTTCACAAAAGTAGTTGGCAAATATATATTAACTTTTGCAGTGAGAGGATTCTAAAAATATTTAGAAGTGGGCTTATTTTCATGGACAAAGAAAAAAGGTTTTTTTTTTAAACTTTCTTTCTTTTCTTTTCTTTTTTTTAACAAGAAAGCTGCAGCACACTTTCTGTAGTTATTCCCACTACAGAGTTGTCAGGCTACTCAGATTGATTTGAGGCATTTCCACCACTGCTTGATGTCATGACAAAATCTTTTTTTGGTTAAATGCAAACAAAAAGTTCTACTTCCTCAACTATAAATAACAATTTCTTAACTATAAACAACAATAACAATTATCCAAACTAGACAGCTGGGACATTCTGTTTGCCATTTTAAGCATTTTAAACCCAAAGGATTCAGTTTTTCATTGTACTTATCATTCCACTTGCACATCTGACAAAAACAGTTCAGGTTTACAATATACCTTCAGCAGCATTTCCCTGAACCCTGATGTCTCTTGACCATGTTGGACTTCAGCCATTTAATCACCACTTAACATGGCCTTTGGGAATTATGGCAACTGGGACAGTCTAGAACATCTGGAGAACTCTAGGCTAAAGAACAGCTATTATTTTCTCCCACTGAATTGTCACAGGAACCCTTAGGATGCTGGCTAACCTGCTTTTGCCAATCAGGGAAACAGCATACTGCATTAGAAACTAAATATATCCTTTCATTCTGAATGGCATACTTCCTCTTGACCTTTATGTCTTTTTTCTACCTCATTGTAATTACTAAGGTCCCTCAAGAGACTACTAGGTTTATGCAAAGTCTATAATCTTGGTTGCAATAAGTATCATTTTATATTGTTGTAAATACACTTGGATAGCTTCGAAAGAGATAGTAACTTCTTAACTGCAGCATTTAAATGAATAATTTTGATTATCTCTGTCAGCAGAGTATCCGTTTCGTAAAAGAGGAAACCATCATTAGAGGAAAATTGCCCAGGTAATTTAACAACTGCAGTGCTAGTGTTCTGCTTTTGTCATTTAAACATTTAAAATGCTGGCAAATGTCAAATCTCTATCCAGTGAGTCTGTAATATAGAGGTCTGCAATTTTACTCTGCTTGTTATCCAAACTAGACAGCTGGGACATTCTGTTTGCCATTTTAAGCTCCATGCTTAATACTCTCCAGTATTCTCCACATTAAATCCTGTATTTAAACTAACATAAATAATTAGGGAAAAAATCCTATTTTTGTAATAGGGGATCAAGTTCTAAGTCAATTTTTTCAATAAAAATAGAGAAAACAAAAGTGGAGGAAATTAACTCTTCAAAAATTGCAGAAATGGTACAAATTCCAAGGGGATGAATAAACATATTGATAAATATGTTAACCATCAAATGAAAACTTTACTTAATTTATCAAGAGAGCCTATGGCCAGACCAGTATATGCTGGACTCAGATAAAGGACCATATGGAAACTCCCTAGTCTGGCAGCTGAACCTCATTATGAATCAAGCCTAACCTTGATTATGGGACCACACCCTTTATTGAAAGCTGAGGATGGAGGTTGTCACCCAACATCCAGGAGTACACTCTGTATAAATGTCCAGTTCTGTCTTCTGGTACCTGGCGAACTTTAGTCATTCTTACTAAAATCATGGCCAATTAAATGGCATTGCAACTGAGATAAATCATTTATGAATCACAACTTTGGATAGCAAATGTTTTCCATACCACAGGACCGGGTCTTCCAGTAAGTCCCATTGGGCCAGGTGGCCCCCTCATTGCAATCTGTGATTTAAACAAAAATAAACATTTAACATGAATCACATGCTAAACTACTGGCAACCTCCAACAGATATGACAATTGCCACTGACAATTAGCTATTTACTGAAATTCAAACATTTTTTAGCCTTGCTATATTTGATGAGGAAAGATCATGATAATTGATGCACCATGACTCTGGAATAGTGCAGATAAAACCTCAAAAATTGATTTTAGTAGGTCTCAGATTCTGTAGGTATAGGAAACAATGACCTTTATGCAAACCTGAGTAAGATAAGCACTATTATCTAATCCCTCTTCCCAAGAAGTCAGGAAAAAGATGAGTTTTTCTTCATTTAACCCTTGCAGAACCACTTAAAGATCTCTGGTTTTATCATATGGCCATGGAAGAAAGTACAGAAAAAGTGCTGGCATCTATTCATGAAAAGAGCCCAGAAAAAAGGAAGGCAGGGCAGAACATCTTCACCAAAGACTGCTTTAATGCACAAATCATCTCATTCTTATTACCTATAGAGAGTAAGGAAGATGACCTTGACAAAGATATGAAGGTGCTGTTGCCTAGGCTAAAGGGGCTAAAGCAGATTTTTAGTCCAGAATATCCAGATAACATTTGGAAGAGGTTCAGTCAGGCACCTCCCTAATTCACTGAACTATAAGAAGGAGAAGCAGGTATAGAACAACCAGACTTGCAAGATTCTATTATGACAGCCAATCTCAATAAAAGTAGTTTTAGCCATCCTGCGGAATGGATTTCCTTGTCTGGTCTACCTAGTGGGCACCATTTCCCACCATCAGAGCAGAAGCAGGAAAGGCCATAGAACAGAACTTAGTCCAGTTTCCACATCTAACCACTTCTGCTCTAGCTCTACTCACTTTGGGTTCTGGTTCCACTCATGTCAGAAGGCAGACCACAATATGTTTCAGTCAATGAGAAATACAGCCCTTGCAAAGGAGTGGGGGTGGGAAACCAGGTTCTTCAGCTTTGCTTTGGTGTGTACCACACTTACCCTGGCTTGTTGAAGAATAGCTTGAGCTTGAGCCTCCTGAGGTGAGATTGCTGGGCCCTTCTCACCACCTCCACTAAACCGGAACTACAGAGAAGCAAAGAATGATTTTTAAAAATCAAAATGAAAAATTCAGAATTAATCTCTATCTATCCATCTCTATTCATTAATGAAATCTTTTTCATTAAAATCATTAAGAAGATACCTTCCTTAGATAAAGTGGGTTTTTATATTGGTAGGTTTTAGCTTGTATATTTGATTTACCATATGTTTTTGATTTTTTTAAAAAAATCATCAATACTAAAAACAGCATTACTTCTAGTGACAAAAGGGATCCCCCATTCAGAATGTATTAACCTTAAATAACCTAATTTGGACAAAATGTGGATAAGATTTGAATTAGCTCATTTTAATATGGCATCATTCCAAGCTCTAAGGCTCCCCACATTTTTGATGAGAATTAGAGGCACTGCATCCTGTGTTTTCTTTGTCCTGATACATAATCTCCATCTCTGCCTTAAAAATTATCAAGAAGTTCTCAGTGCAAAGATTACTGGGAATTATAGCTTGCCATGGCTTTGGGGCTCTTAATTAAAGACCCAGCAACTCTAGATCATTTTTCACATGAAGAAGTCCCTCTCTATAAGGATTTTGGCCTAAGAAACATGAGTTTCCTCCCTCCTATCACTGGTACTGGAAAATTAAGTTTTGGAAGCCACCAGCCCAGAATGGGCCTATATGTATCTACAAGCTGAACTAGAATTTGATTCAATCCTAGGAATTCCAATATTATCATCATAAATATATCCTCAAGGGAAGTTGCTTTTGTATTTAATTAAAGTCACAAATCTAATCACTCATTAACTCAGAAATTTATCTTCAGTTAGTATGTCTCCTAAGTTAAGCCAACAGACCTGCTGAAACCACTTTTTAACATGATGAGCAACTGAAAAAAAGTGTTCTTTGAAAACCGGATCTATACACTGTTCTAGAATGGTGGAAGGAGGGCAATTCCATTTTCATAAGAAATGCTCTGTTGTCTGCTTTTTTAGTAGGGAGCTATGAGCATCCATTTTGTGGGTGTCCAGCAGCCCAAGACTATGCCACTGAAATTTGGCCATTTCCCCTTGAATATTAGTGGCACGATCTCAGGCCATCTTATAGTTTGGGGTGAAAAGTCAGCTCTGCCCCATCCAGTGATGTCATCATGTCACTGGATATAAGCCAATGGTCTTCCTGAAGAGCAGAAGGCAAACATCCAGACCATGATCCTCAAAACACTGCCTACTTCTATGCCATTTGAATGAATGGTGTGGAAAGGAGGGAAGATAACACTCTTGATTTTGATTTTTAACAGAACTGTGAACAAAAGGTACAATGCTAGTTTTGTTTGATGTCTTGAAAAGTTAGTTTCAGGAATGAGCTCTCTGATTGGTCACTGCTATTATCTGACTTCTAAAAGCTTTCCAACAGCCTGGTCCTGGATGATCTATTAGGAGAAATATTAATAGTTAATCATCGTGCATTGAAATTCCTATTCCTTGAAAATATGACATTTGTAAAGCAAAGTAAGACTTACTGGTAACATTAACATGGTACCCGGGGGTCCAGGTAAGCCATCAGCACCTGGAAGACCAGCACGTCCTGGTGGGCCCTAAAGAGAAAATGGAGATTTAGGAAATTATACAAATGTCATACGTTTGTTAGGAACATCTTGTTCTGTATAGAGCATGTTTAATTACTACAGTTGCAAACTGAAAAGGGGGATGAATGAATTCCCATCTTAAGTTCATTTCATCTCATTTCTGCATCATTAATTTAATTTTTTTTTAATAAAATTGCCACAATAACGTGTACATATTTTTGTGCATGTTTCTTTTAATATAGGCACTGCTGTCTACATTTTCCTCTTCATTTCATCTGTGGATTCCAACATGCATATTTTGTGCTTTCCCACATATAAGCATGTTTTTGTCTACATCTTTTTCTAATACAGTATATGCATTTCTGTGTTTGCTTCTTTACAAATTTTTTTGGAGTTGCTGTTTTGAAGTTGTGAACTATATGGCAAAATTTATAAATGTGTGTTCCGGTTCACGTCTAGGTTCAGGAAGTGCAAATTAGGAAACTTTACATTCAAATACAATCAAACATTTCTTACATCTTTAATTGAAAATGGATGTTAATGGATTTCTCAGTAGTTATGAGCCACAACAATAAAAGGCACTCCATGCTTACGAGCAAAACGTTCCCAACTAACCAACAATTATGAATAACTTCCTAGAATTGGCAAATTGCTATTGAAAACATCCGACTAGTCTTTCTTTAATGTTTATGAAGTTAATGTTGGAATTTTGATGTTCTGAGAATACTTTTTAATTCCTTAAGTTATTAAAACAGCATTGCAGGCATATGCTAGTGTATAAATTAAAAATCAGATTATATTCACATATCCATAAGGCAAATTGGAGCCTATACAAGCTTCCCTAATCACTTCAGTTTCTACCTACATACACATATGTGCGCATAGAGCCATTTATCAGACCACCACCATATCCTAAATTTATTTCATCGGCACTGTACGCAATGTTGTTACATGTTATGGCTAAAATAGTTCTTCAATCTAATAACATGCTATGGAACTTTGAGGGGAAAAAAGGCTCAGCTAGGATCTTCTTTGCAAGAATGACCTACATACATCAGTACATACATCAGTATGAATATAGAGCTCCAAGAGACACATTCAGAATACAAAAATACAGTGTGAAACACATGGCAAGGGTGAGGTTAGCAGTGATTTCTCTCACGTGTTTCTTCAACTTGTAGGATAAGGCCACCTAGCATTTAAGCGAAGAGGTTGTAGGGAAAGATTCCAAAAACATTCTAAATATTTAGGTATCATAAATTAATACAGCACTCATTTTTCAGATTGCACACTATTGGTTTCAGTTGCTTCAGAGCAAGAATTATCTGAGCTGCCTTGCTTTTGATGTTGTCATTTCTGTCCAATTCTACATCTGATAAATTAGTGGACCTGTAAAAACTGTTGCAGAAGTATCATTACACACACATGTGGTTTTATGCCAATAAAGTGAATATATTCAAAGATCTATGCAACTCTGCACTTAATGTATCAGTTATAGCCAGTTATTGTCATGTATCAAAATACAACAAAGCAACTACAGCACAGAGAAGACAAAGCAAAGAAGGGACATGATGGGAACAGGACTAGCAGAGACTTACCATGCTAAAAATATTTTGGTTAATATTTACATAAAGATTAAGTGGGGGATCTGGAAGGGCAAATGGATTGACCTGTACTAATCTGTCACACCAAAAGACCAATAACAAGACCTCAGATACCTCTTATCTAAAGAGATGTGAACAGTTAAAGCAAACAGAAAGGGAAAGTCAGCTACATTTCCACTTCATCTACCTGTTACCACATTCAAAATAACTAAAAGTCACCCAGAAATAAGTAGACATCCGCTGGTCCTACTTGTGCAATCTATGAAAGCTAGATAATGGGCAATGTCTTCTGACTTTCATTTGCACCACTGATAACATTTTCCTTTATATTCAGTCACCTTGAACATATCCAACAATGTGGACTTGCACGACTATATTCAGAGGACCTGGGGAATCTGAGGCCTTCAGGATATCCCATCTCTTCCACCAACTCTATTAGATGACCTATAGAGGGCAGAACTGGGACTCAAATGCCTCCATGTCCTATCTGCACAGCAACAAAAAGGATTTAACACTTTATTTTTTTTTAATTTATTGGATTTCTCCCCTGCCCATCTCCCCCACAATAGGGGACTCTGGGCGACTTACAGGAAACATTAAAACTATAAAT